CTTTTCTTTCTTTCTTTCTTCTTTCTTTCTTTCTTTCTTTCTTTCTTTCTTTCTTTCTTTCTTTCTTTCTTTCTTTCTTCTTTCTTTCTCTTTCTCTCTTTTTCTTTCTCTCTCTTTCTCTCACGCTCTTTCTTTTTCCTTTTCTTTTCTCTTTCTTTCTTTTAGACAGGGTCTCACTACATCTCCCAGGCTGGAGTACAGTGGTGCAACCCCAGCTCACTGCAACCCCGATCTCCCAGTCTCAGTGATCCTGCCTCAGCCTCCCAAGTAGCTGGGCTTGCATGTAGGTGCCACCACGTCACATTATTTTATTTTATTTTATTTTATTTTATTTTATTTTATTTTATTTTATTTTTGTAGAGACAGAGTCTCGCTATCTTGCTCAGGCTGGTCTCGAACTCCTGGGCTCAAAGAATCCTCCTGCCTTCCAGAGTGTTGAGATTACAGGCGTGAGCCACTGCACTCAGCCTACAAATAGTTTATATATTAACGTGAAACTTCTTATTAAAAAGAGGATTTTAAAAAAAAAACATTACAAGTACTTTTTGGTTAATATGGAAAAAAGATTTTTATTTTTGTTCATCTTTTTGTGGAGTTGAAAACCACCCCCCTGAAGACAAACACTGCATGACTTCTAAGGGCTACTAGCAGAAGTGAAATGGATTAAAAGACCCCCAGGTGTCTTGGTTTTCTGTCCTACAGCTTTGTCCTGCGTTTTCTATTTTCAACCTCCTGTGATTTGTGAAAAGTCCTGAGCTGAATATCAGGTGTAGGAGTTCCCTGGTCATTGTGTCACAATGAGCCCTTGCAAATTGCTGTGTTCTCCCAGAGAGTATTGTGAAATTTCCCTAAAGGCTGAAGGTGTCATGATTTCCTCCACATCTCTTGTTGAGGATGAGTTCAAATTGGATCTTGAGAAGTTTAGTCTGATTCTCTAATATCTCATAGCCATAGTCTAAGAGAGAGGTATTGAGGAATTCATTTATGCATAGAAGCATAAATGACATATTTGCAGATTAAATGGCATGACATTTGAGTTTGATCCCATACGATTGTGTGGGGAGATTGGTGTGGATGGGGTCACAGATGACAAAAGATTGGCTGTGTGTTGGTTGTTGTTTACTTGGGTGATAGTTCTTAGAAACTGATTGTACTGTTTTTCACTTTTGTATATATTTGGCATTTTCCATAACACAAAATATTTTAAAAATCATTTATTCTGACTGGGCACAGTGGCTAATGCCTGGAATCCAGCACTTTGGGATGCCAAGAAGGGTGGATTGCTTGAGCCCAGGAGTTCAAGACCAGCTTGGGCAACATAGTGAGACCTTTTCTCTACAAACATACAAAAATTAGTTGGGCATAGTAGCATGCGCCTGTGTCCCAAATACTTGGGAGGCCGAAGTGGGAAGTTGGCTTGAGCCTAGGAGGTGGAGGTTGCAACGAACTGAGATCACGCCATTGTACTCTAGCCTGGGTGACAGGGCCAGACCCTGTCTCAAAACAACAACAACAAAAACCACACACACAAAATCATTTATTCATTAAGAAGTTATTTATTCCTTTCGGTCCCGGCAGCGGCAGGACTGATCCAGGGACGCCCTCCCTTCACTTTCAGCGCCCGCTCCGCTCCCGGCCCCGCCACCATGACGGAACAGGCAGTCTCCTTTGCCGAAAGCGTCCTGGCAGGAGACATGGCCGCCGCCATCTCCAAGACGGCCGTTGCCCGGATCCAACGGGTCAAGCTGCTGCTGCAAGCAGCACAAAGGCATCGTGGACCTCATCGTCCGCACCCCAAGGAGCAGGGCGTGCTGTCCTTTTGGAGGGGCAACCTGGCCAATGTCATCCGCTACTTCCCCACGCAAGCCCTCCACTTGGCCTTCAAGGATCAGTACAAGCAAATCTTCCTGGTGTTGGGGGGGTGGGGGGGAGCCAAGCACAAGCCGTTCGTTCCGGAGGTATTTTGCAGGTAATCTGGCTCCCTGGGGTGCTGTCGAACGACCTGCCTCTGCTTCATGCGCCCCCTGGATTTCACCAGAACCCGCCCGGCAGCCGATGTGGGGAAATCCGGCAGGGAGCGCGCGTTCCAAGGCCTGGGAGACTGACTGCCTGGCAAAGGTCTCCACGTCCGACAGCGTCCGGGGCCGGTACCAGGGCTCCAGCGTCCACGTGCAGGGCATCATCATCTACCCTGCCGCCTACTTCTGCGTGTACCACACGGCCAAGGGCATCCTCCCCGACCCCAAGAACACGCACATCGTGGGGAGCTGGATGATCGCGCAGAGGGTGGCGCGCGTGGCGGGGGTGGTTTCCTACCCCTTCCACCCCTTGCAGCCACAGAGGATGATGCGGTCCCGGGCAAAGGAGCTGACATAAGTACACGGGCACCGCCTACTGTTGGAGGAAGATCTTCAGAGACAGGTGGGCAAGGCCTTCTTCAAGGGTCCTTAGGGGCAAGGGGGCCGCCTTCCTGCTGGTCCTGGACGACGAGCTGAAGAAGGTCATCTAAAGGCCTCAGTGGCCTCCTCTACACACACACAAGGGAACCAAGAGAACCACGTAGAATCCTCAACGATGCGGACCACTGACCCTCGAGAAATTCCAGTCATCTTTTTCCCAGCCGATCCTTCCTGTAGATGGCCAGGGAAGGCTCTAGAAAAGGGGTACCTTGTGATCCAACGATCGGCACTCGATGCCATGTCTTGATCACTGGGGGAAGGGAACCATGGCGTCCTCGCGGGCCCACGGATGAGACACTCCAATACTCAGACCTAGAGTCCAGATGTTTGTAGGACCCAAGTCGTGTTTAAGTATTTATTTAAGACAAAAGAATCATGTTTCCCATTTGTACTTAAAAAAAAGTTATTTATTGAGTACCTACTATGTGCTAGACACTGTCCTAGGTGCTTGGGATATATATGTGAACAAAGTTAAAAATCTCTGCCTTGTCACTTACATTCTAGCTTGGGATGGGGTGTGTAGAGGGAATACCAAATAGTAAACACTATGAGTTATTGAATTTTATAGTGTGTTAGAAAGTGTTAAGTGCGTGGATCTAATGGGAATGCTAATCCCATAGAGAAGATGATGGAGAAGAGGACTAAGCCTGAGACTTGGGTCTCCAACTTGGGAAAGAACCTGCAGGGAGGCTGAATGAGAGCAGGAGGAGAGGGAGCCGCAGTGTCTTAGGGAGTTGTTCAACACGGTGTACCTCTCTGATATACTTCCTCTTGCACTGATACTCAACAATGTGGCTGCAATTATGTCCACGAAAATCTATTCGAGGTGGGGCGTGGTGGCTCATGCCTGTAATCCCAGCACTTTGGGAGGCCAAGGTGGGTAGATCACCTGTGGTCAGGAGTTTGAGGCCTGTCTGGCCAACATGGTAAAACCTTGTCTCTACTAAAAATGCAAAAATTAGCCGGGCGTGGTGCCTCGAGTAATTAGTAAATTAGTCTGAGCACCCCTGTAATCCCAGCTAGCTACTCTCCAGGCTGAGGTGGGAGAATTGCTTGAACCTGGGATGTGGAGATTGCAGTGAGCTGAGATTGCACCACTGCACTCCAGCCTGGGCAACAGAGAGAGGTCCTGTCTCAAAACAAAACAAAACAAAACAAACAAACAAACAAAAAAACTAGTTGAATAATTGATATAGGAGTGGAGAAAACTGGCTAGGCAAAGAAAATCTCACATTAGTAAGTAGGCTAATTTATCTGTTTCACTCTTAAATGTTAACTCTTTGAAGGCTAAGATTTGTTTATCTTTAGCTTTCTATCTTGGCCTAATAGAGCAGTCTTATGTTTGCAGAGTAAATAAGTAAAAAGCAGGTGGAGAGTTGGAGTGAAGCTGCGACTTGCCATGCTGGACCATCCAACGCTTCCAACCATAATTCAGTTGCAGATGTTGGAGCTCATAAATTGATGCCCCCAAATACGATGCCTGGACATACTGAGCTGCAGAAACCTAAAGGTCTCTTTGACCTCCCCGACAAGGTCTCTTCTGAAGAAGCTGAAGTCCCTTTGTCTGCCTCAGATCTAGACCCACCAAGGGGAACTATTGTTTTTTCTTCCCCTTCTTGTAAGACTAAGAATGTAACCACACTTGAACAGACCCTTTCACTGTCAAAGAGAACAGACTTTCAAATTAATCTCAGCTCCTGATCCTTTACTGTCCCTCAGTAGAATTCCTCTTCTTCCTCCTCCCATAACCCCTTTAGCCAGGCTGATAATGTAAGCTTCTGAACCCTGTTGGGAGGTGGGCATACACTGTGTTTCTCCTAGTGCAAACATTAATATATTTGTCTCCCTTTTCCTTTCTTTTCTTCTCCTTTTCTTTTTCGAATTGCCCAGAGTAGAGTGCAGTGGCACCATCTCAGCTCACTGCAACCTCCGCCTCCCAGGTTCAAGCAATTCTTGTGCCTCTGTCTCCCGAGTAGCTGGAATTACAGACGTGCACCACCACACCTGGCTAATTTTTGTAATTTTAGTAGAGATGGGGTTTCACTGTGTTGGCCAGGATGGTCTCGCACTCCTGGCCTCAAGTGATCTGCCAGCTTCAGCCTCCAAAAGTTCTAGGTGTGTGCCCTTTCTCTAGTGAATTTACCTTTTTTGTGAGTTGGTTTTCAGTAAACCTTCGGGGGGTGAGGGGGAAACTTTGGGTTGACCCCAACACAGACTGACATCATGGGAGGATGTGTAGACGAGCCCAGGAATTTCTGTGACACTGATAACCGAAGATTGGAATTGATTTCCAAATTTCTATCTTTATTATAAAATCTGCTACAGGATAGTATGGGACCTAGCACCCACTAACTGAAACCCATCCAAAGATCATGTGTGATCTTTACATATCACCCACATCTTTTGCTCTGTTGGCTTCACTAATGCAAGCTACACATACTACAGAACAAAGAGATGACTGAGAATATGGAGAGATTATT